GAATACCGAAAGGGCATTATCCTAAGTGAAGTAAGTCAGTCAGAGAAAGACAAGTACCATGTGTTTTCACTTATATGTGAAATCTAAACAATATAAACAAACAAACAAAACAGAAACAGACTCATCGATACAGAGAACAGAATGATGCTTACCAGGGGGATAGGGGTTGGAGAACCAGCTGAAAAAGTTGAAGGGACTGAGAAGTACAGACGGGCAGTTACAAAATAGCCACGGGGATGTCAAGTACAGCATAGCATACAGTATGGTCAATATTATTGTAATAACTATGTATGGTGCCAGTGAAGCACAATAACCTCCATCTTGTATAAAAAACTGCTGTTTGGCCGAAACCGGTTTGGCTCAGTGGATGGAGCGTCGGCCTGCGGACTGAAAGGTCCCAGGTTCAATTCCCGTCAAGGGCATGTACCTGGGTTGCGGGCACACCCCCAGTAGGAGATGTGCAGGAGGCAGCTGATCGATGTTTCTAACTCTCTATCTCTCTCCCTTCCTCTCTGTAAAATAAAAACGTAACTGTCTGACCTTGCAAGCTAGCCATCTAACGTAATGGACTAATACTGATAATAATTCCCATATTCTTATGCCAAATGTTTGTTCTTTATGTATCCAAGATTACAAACTGTAACAATAACTCACGCAGAGCTCTTTGTAAAACCTGCAGACAAAGAAGCTCAAAAAGTATAAATACGGGAAACTTCCTGTATGTGTTGCTCAGAGATTTGGAAGAGACACCTCCCTCTGGGCCGTGCAATAAATGACTCCTAATTAATTGGCTCATTAAGGCATCTTGTATCTCATTTGCTGATTTACGATACAACACCAGTTGGATACTGGAAATATCAGGGAGGGGGTAGTTTTTATTTCCCTTTAGACCCAAGAGTTGTTTATTAGTTTTAAATTTTTCTCTGTGGAAGTATTTCTATAGGTGGTGTCTGGATTTCTACTCATTTATAGTTTTATGGCACTGTGACTAATGTATTATTTCTATTTTATGAAACTCAAGGCTCTCTTTGTGAATAAACATAGTATACTTTTTTGTTAATGTTCTATGTGTACCTGGAAAGCTCTTTTGTGTTCTAACTTATTTTTGTGAGTCCATGAAAATTATCTGGGAATAAAGATACACCAAAGTTGCCCAATATCACTTGTTTCTGTTTGCATACCCTATTTTATTAAAGCTGTTACTATGTCATTTAGTACACAGACATTCCCTATTCTGCCATCGTTGCAAGTTGGGCTCTTTAGCTTTATGAATTGTCATTATTTCCCCTTGTAATCTTTTTTATCTGAATTCTGCTTTATTAGACATTGAGATCTGAATGCCTTCTGTATTTTGTTTGTTATTTGCCTGCTATACTTTACTCATCTTTTATTTTAACCTTTCTGAATCACTTTGTTCTAAAGGTACCTTTTTCTGTATAGCATATCAACTATTTTGCTTTCCAAATCAACCTGAAAATACTTTCCTTTAAAGAGGGAGTTAAGGTTAAGCCTATTTATATTTACTAATATACTTGGTGTGTTTGGTTTCAGCTCTGTCATATTATTTCATTTTCTACTAATTGTATTTTCCACTATGGTTCTATTTCTTTATCAAAGCACATTGAATTACCTTTGTGCACATGGAAAGGCCTATGTTTCTGTTCTATTGGTATTTTATATTAATATGTATTACTCACTTTCCATGTTTAGGCTTGTACACTTGGTTAGTCAGCTGTAAAGATTATTCTTTGACTTACACCTATTAATCTATACGGCAATAAGTGAGATTTTCTATTTTTTACTTTCTTCTTTTCCCATGTATTTTTATTCTGTTTCTCTTTTAACTTTATAAGAGGACATAACACTTGCATAGTATTTTTTCGTGTTTATCTCACATTTCCCTTAGTCTTAAATCTGCAACAACCAATTCAATCAGCTTTTTGCTGATGTTATTTCTTGGTTAGGCGAAGCTTGTTTTCTACTAGACTCCTCAGAAAGCTCCCATTAGTCCAATTTCCCCTAAGTTTAATGTTTCTCTATAGCTTTTCTATTTGAAGGACAGCTTGGTTGAATACAAAATTCTTTTTAGGTTTTTGCTCACTGTTCTCTTGCTTTCAATGTGATGTGGTTGTCAAGAAATCAAATGTTGACATGCCATTCTTTCCTTGTGAGTACTCAGAACTATTTGCCTGGAGACCCAGAGGACTTCTTGCTTCTTCATTTTAAAAATATGATGGTTTTATTCATATACGTCTTTGAGTTAACCATTCAGCTTAATTGTCCCAAGTATATGGGAAATATGTAAATTCAGGTCACATTTTATTTTGAGGAGGTATCTTTTGATTATGGTTTTAAAGATCATTTTTGTTTTGTTTTTCTGCTAATCTTCTCTATCACTTTGTCTTCTATTTTATGTCTTTCTTCATTTCACTGGAATTTTCTTGGCTCTTTTTACTTCTGTCCTGTCTGATACTTACTGTATTTTTGGCCTGGCCTATACTCCTTTGCATATCTTGAAATTTAGTTTTCTTAATCTGAGAAGATTGTATCTTTTATTTTAATATTTTGAGCTCACATTTCATCTCTCATCTGCCTGTCATCTATCCATTTTTATTTTGAAATATTGAATTTATAGTTTATGGTGCTCTTTAATCTGCAATTACATTTAAGTCTTATTAGAATATTGCATGATAATCTTCCTCTTATTTTTCAAAGCCTTTCTAAAAGGGGCTTTACAAAAAGGATTTAAAAAATTATTGTGCAAAGGATTTGTTTCTTATTTTCTAGTTTCTTCTTATATAAGAGCTGAATTCTTCCTTTGGTTCATATTATATGTATTGGATATCCCTGGACCCACAATATTTGGAGATAGTATAAGATAGAATGAATGAAGGGGTTTTGATATCTTATTCAGTAGCTTAGTACAAAATTATTTTTACCCCTTTGTATAGTGGAACAGTTTTTTAACAATTGGAGATTTTTTTGCTATGTTTTTGTAAAATATTTTGACACTGCCCTGCCTCACCTTAACCATTAACTTCCCCAGGATTGCCTTCTCCTTCTACAGTGCTGCCTTCTCCTCTTATCACAGCGATCACCTCTCATGCTACGCAATTGCTAAGACTCATTTTTTCAACTACCTTGTAGCTAGTGCTCTAATGCTCCAGATCTCAGGCCTATTGCCAGTACTTCCACTTTCCTCTTTTTCTGGAGATGAATCCCAGCATATATTCTCCATATTCTGCTGTCATTGGAACCCTGCGTTACATTGGAACCCTTCCATGCATTTCTGCTTGACTCTGCTCTGCTGTAGATTCTGCAGATGACTGCACTGGTCTTATGTAAACACAGTCACAGGTAATTTTTATCTTGCAGTATTCACTCACTCCTAATTATGCTGTGTGTGAGTCCATAGGTAATTTTAATCCATTTCCTTTTGGTCTACATGCTATGATAACTAGAGAAATATGAGGTTTTAATGTTATTGTTACTGTTAATGTTATTGGACAAAAGAAATTAGGAAAAGTTATCCTATATAATAAAAGGGTAATATGTAAATAGATCGAATGGCAGAACAACTGAACAACCAATCAAATCATAATATGCTAATGAATGCTAAGGCTGCTCAACAGCTCGCTGTGATGTGCACTGACCACCAGGGGGCAGACGCTCTGACCCGTGGGTTAGCTTGCTGCTGGGGTCCTGCTGATCAGGACTGAGCGAGATGGGCCAGACATGCCCTGGAACCCTCCCCCGCCCGAATGCATTGGTGGGGTCCCTCAGCCTGGCCTGCGCCCTCTCGCAATTCCGTACTTTTTACACCTGTCTCTTCATGGTAAAAGCTATGGGAAAGGGGGTCTGTTGGTGTAACATTAAATAGGTTAGGACAGGTAAGCAAAGAGTAACTTTGTATTTGTAAGCTAGTTTCAAAAGGCCAAATTCTGTAAAGGCCACATGTTAACATAAAATTTTGCAGTTACATCAATATGGAGTAAATTTGTTGGTATGTCAAATTTTAGTTTTCCAGTTTTACTGGAATGTGAATTCACATTTACAAATGCTGAGGTAGTTTAAGAACCTTAAGTGAGGTTTGAATAGTATTGAGCACTGTCTTGCTGCAGTTATTGTATACAAATTCTAGGCAAAATAAATGGATGCTGGAAAAAAAATTTTTTTTCAATTAAAATAGATATTTTATTTTTCTCTCTTTGAACAACTCCAAAGACACAAGCTCAAAAATAATAGGGAGATTTTGCTGTTACCAAAATGAGGCTTCCCTGGTCACTTGGATCTTCATCATTTCCAAGCTAGTGGAAACAGGGTAAGAGAACTCCATGGCAGGCCAGCAGATTCATGTTTAAGAAGGGGCTGGAAGGTGTAAATACCACTTCCACTCATATTCCTGGACTGGAACTTGATCTCATGGCTGTAGTTAGCTCGGCTCCTACTGGACCATCAGCATC